TGTGGTTTGACTTACATGCTGCAGACAGATTTGATCCAGCTTTAGTCCACTGTCTGGTTCTGTCTGCTCATCTGGCCAACAGGCTCTGAACTTGTTTTTTTTTTGTCCAGAGATTTTGTTATAATAATAAAATGAACGAATTTCCAAAATTAATCAATTTTGGAAATTCATTCATTGGATGAATTTCCAAAATGGATCAAGAAGAATCAATCACTCCATCAGTTAAAAAAGGTCTTCCAATTAAAGCTTTTTTAAATGATGCAACAGCAGATTATCTACAAAAATCAGCTCAGTGTTTTAGAAATCACTCCGACAATAAAGGAAATGAATTCATTAATTTGCCGAATTGTTTTCACAGCTGTTTTCACTACCTGTTTGTGAAGCATCAAACACGGTACTTTCACCACTTTTCCTTCAGGTCATGACCTCTCTGACTGTAAGCTGCCCTGCAGGTTCACACTGTTTTGCTTTTGTGTCATTGCAGGTGAATGTTGACGACACCGTTGAAATGTTACCAAAATCAAGAAGAGCTCTCACCATCCAGGAAATTGCTGCATTAGCAAGATCCTCCCTGCATGGTGTGTGGAACAAATCATTTTTGAACATTTTCACATGCTAACCTGCACAGACAGAGAGTGAGTGTAACTCCAGATATAATGACGTGCTGTAGAGTAATGTCCAATCATTATCTTATAGGTATTTCCCAGGTGGTGAAAGATCATGTGACAAAGCCCACAGCAATGGCACAGGGCAGAGTTGCCCACCTGATCGAGTGGAAAGGCTGGTGTAAGCCCATGGACACTCCGGCAGCCCTGGAATCGGACTTCAACTCCTACTCTGACCTTACTGAAGGAGAGCAGGAGGCGCGCTTCGCTGCTGGTGAGACTATAGTTTCTGACTTTTATTACTCAAATATTTGACTTTCCTGCTCTGCTGAATTCTATGTGGGAGATTAAGGATGCTTTCTGAAGGCGTTGGGGTCGATTAAATTTATGCTGAAGTGCACTCAAAATAAAAGGTAATGTTATGCAATATGAAATCTGACATTTTACAGATTTAAAAAAAAAATTAAGGCCAATTCCCGTGCATTTGTTTTCATTTTGTGAAGGTCATTTGTATCAAAGTTAAATTAAAGGTAAAATAAACAGCGAATCAAATAAAACCCTGCACTAACAGGATAAAGTCACATGAAAAACAGCTGCAGCCAAAGACCGCAGAATCAATAAACATTTAGCAGATTAAATAAGACGGAGCAATGACTGGGTTCCAAATCTAATCATTTTTATTTGCGCGGCCCAGGGCTGCTGGTCTCACTGGACCTCGTAGACTGCGATCCGTGAGCCTGAGGCTTACGACAAAGAGTCACAACTTACTTAAGACATACGTGTGATTTAAGGATTAACTTTAATCTCTGAGGAATATATTTGCCAGTTTAAGACGGTGTAAACCAGAGAAAACCTGGCTGGAAGTCACAGAGAGAAAAAGGAATCGTTCTTGTGGGGAGACTCCTGCTGTTTTCCAGGTGAACCACAGCTTTCTGTCAGATATTGTAAACGGAAGTGTAACCTCAACAGTGTGTGTCTGCGGTGGAAGGGCTGATGCAGTACTGCATGTCTCTGAGTTCTGGACTGGTGCAGGACCTGTAGTAAATACTGCAGTTCACCTTCCCCGCAGGGGAATTGATACTCCGCAGTCTGCTCTCAGCCTTGTAAGGCCACGGTGTGTAGTGAGAGAGCTGATGAGGGAGGACTCACCGACGACGCAGAGAGATAGAACTTAGCCAGATGCTAATACTATTGCATTATTATCTTATTGTTGTATGTATATTATACGCATGTGTACAAAGATACCACATTGCGAACCATATCAAATACTATTGCATTATTATCTTATTGTTATATGTATATTATATGCATGTGTACAAAGATAAAAAAAATGCCAGTGTTTTCTCTTCTCCTGAATGATTCATAACCCCGGTTCAGTACCCCGGCAGACCACCTAGAGGTCGGGGACCTCATGTTGAAGACCTCAGTCAATATAGTTAATGTTCTAGACATCTTGGGGTCACAGCTTTGACCATCATCATATCAGCTCTTTACATTTACAAAAATGTACAAACTATGTACACAGCCTTTGTTGATCACAAACTGAACACAAAAAGATTTCTTGTAGAAATATCTGTCGTCAGTCACCATAACCTTAAGGTTCTCCAAAGGACATTCAGTATTCCAAACTACACCCACATGACAACGACCTTGATTTTATTCTCTTCACTACATACAGTACATCCTCCTCAAAGAACAAACTATTTATTATTTAGTCTGCAGTCAACATAAGGTGCACACACAGGTGAAGTACCACTGAGCAAAAATATCGAAGAAAAGAATAAAGCATGAAGAGTCATTTTTCTTTTCTCCATCCACTACAGGTGACCTATCATTGCTATGCCCAGACAACAGCAAACCCCCCCCCCATAACCCCCCCCCCCCCCTTCTCAGTTTGCTGCTGGTCTTTCCATTTATTTCCCCCGTTCCTCACATTCTTTCTTCTTTAATGCCACACCTGTGTCTGTCTCTCCTGCAGATCCTGTCTCTCCCCTCTGCCCCCCCTGACACACACACTCCCCCCACCCCTATTCTCCACCTCACTCCCCCCTGCATTGCAGGCTCTCAAGGTTAATTTGCACAGTAAGGTTTTGCTCCCGGCCAGTTCCACAGTGACTGAGCGATTTCCTCCGTGTCCCACCTTTTTTCCTTTCTTTGTTCTGTCTCCCTTTTATCTCAACATTTACTCCACTTCCCCCTCCCTTCTTTATATAAAAACCCTCCTCAGTATTCTTTACCCATGTGAAACTCCCACGATTATTCAAAAAGACCCAATTCATGTCAGTGGCAACGTTCGGAAATGTGCATTCAAGTGTAAGATCAAACAGTGAAGGAAATGTGTTAGTCGTACTGACTTTGAACTTCACACCGTATATACTGTGCTGAGTATTTGAAATTGATTGTTGCCTCTGGGTGTGAGAACTGAGTTCATCTGTTTGAGAAAACATCCAGCACTTCTCACTTGGTCTGTTACATCTGTAAAGTGCTTGATCAAAGGACACCAAGATGTAAGGAAATATAAACTCATACATAAATGTACGACTCACTGAATGACTCATTAAATATGAACCTTATTTCTAAAGACGTTATTATTCTCAAAAAAGATGAAAAAGCAGGAGGTGTACTACTGAGATGTGACCCAGAAAGATGAAAACGCAGGAGGTGTACTACTACTACTACAGAATGTTCATTCCTCTCCCTGATGCTGTTCCTTTGTCAATTTGCCTGATGAATAAAGGTTACATTACAATAACAAAAAACACATTGTAGTTTCTACAGCGATAAAATGTAACGATCTTCATGTGTGGAGGTCTTTTACAGAAAACTTTCGGCATTATCGGAATGTTACCCAAAATTAGATATCACAGGGTGAGTCAGAAAGACAGATGCTACTGTTTCAAGTGGTGTTTGGTTTTAATGACTAATAAGTCCAAGCTTAAAGAACACAAAAATATTGAGGAACCAAATTTCTGTTCTATACCAAAGAAGGATTTACATATTTATTTGGTCATTAACAAAGACTTTTCTTTTTTAATTTCTTTGGCTCGTCCTCACATATACCTATTAACCCAAAGATTTGTGACCACGAACAAATTCTGTTAAAGCAGATAATCTTAATTCATAGTACAGGTTGCGTCTAATTTCCACAAATACTTAAAAGGCAAACTACCAAAGAAGGATTTACATATTTATTTGGTCATTAACAAAGACTTTTCTTTTTTAATGCCTGATGAATAAAGGTTACATTACAATAACAAAAAACACATTGTAGTTTCTACAGCGATAAAATGTAACGATCTTCATGTGTGGAGGTCTTTTACAGAAAACTTTCGGCATTATCGGAATGTTACCCAAAATTAGATATCACAGGGTGAGTCAGAAAGACAGATGCTACTGTTTCAAGTGGTGTTTGGTCTAAGCTTAAGTCTAAGCTTAAAGAACACACAAATATTGAGGAACCAAATTTCAGTCCTTAAAAGGCAAACTACCAAAGAAGGATTTACATATTTATTTGGTCATTAACAAAGACTTTTCTTTTTTAATTTCTTTGGCTCGTCCTCACATATACCCATTAACCCAATTCATAGTACAGGTTGCGTCTAACACAAATTCAAACCACAAGCAAACATTACATATCTGGATATCTCTCAATTTCCATTTCAGACAAACAGTTCACACAATTCCATTGCAAGGTCGTGAATCAAACATCAAAAATATTTAAGTGCATTTGCGGCGTTTAACCATCTTCCGTCTGCAAGACAAAACACAGGGCGAAGAAACCTTAACGCTGCGGTGAGACAGCGCAGTTCTCCCGACTTTTCGCGTTTTGTAAACGTTCTCAAGACAAACAAATAATTAAAAATTACAGCGATACGGAGCTTCCATATAAGTGCATTTCTCAATTTCCATTTCAGACAAACAGTTCACACAATTCCATTGCAAGGTCGTGAATCAAACATCAAAAATATTTAAGTGCATTTGCGGCGTTTAACCATCTCCGCCGATCCGTCTGCAAGACAAAACACAGGGCGAACAAACCTTACCGCTGCGGTGAGACAGCGCAGTTCTCCCGACTTTTCGCGTTTTGTAAACGTTCTCAAGACAAACAAATAATTAAAAATTGCAGCGATACGGAGCTTCCATACAAATTCATTTCTCACGGTTGCAATTATATTATTTATTTTTTGACCACTCACCCGTTAAAACAGACAAGTTGCAGCAGCAATTAGTGCCCGGAACTCTCGGTTCTCCTCGCATTAGCGGACGGCCACACCCAGAGGCACCTGAACTGAAACAGCTCCGCTGCCAAAGGTTCCGCTTTTCTGTCTTATGTCTTCCTTTATCTCCAAAGACACAAATAAACAAACAAACTAAGGAACAAATTAATAAAATTGTGAACAACACAGATTTTCCAGGGAATAATTGAACCTATTAAAAACCAAGAAAAAGAAGGAAATTATTTTTCCCACTCATCCAATTAGGTCCATATACTTGTCAACCACAGCAACAAGATGAATGGTTGAACAGAGTAGTACTAATGTCTAAAGTACTTAAAAAAAAAACTAATTACAGGGCAGTACTCACATTTTTTAGGGAGAGTGACATAAACAACCTATCAGTGCATACACAGGACTGTACCTGTTGTTAGGGGTTAAATACAGAGGAGATACAGTACTATGACTGGATCCATTTCTGTTGGGTCACACCTTCTGTTTTTGTTGAAATACATTTATCTGAATTTCAAAAATCCCTGGAATGCTTTCCAAAGAGCAATGTTTTCAGTCGCCTGTTGTTGGAAGACGCGCCAGTGTTTGTGACAGAGTTCAGGGCTCAGCCACTGTGAAAGACGAACGAGTTCATCGATTACTCGTCGTGAGAGACAACGGGTGAATACTAAACAAAGAGAAGCGACGGAGTCAGTAAAAGAGAGGAGGTTAGGAGTCGGAGAAAACAAAATGAAAAGTGAGAGACACGGCAGAAAGAATATGGAACGCTGGGCGAGACGATATGGCACTTTATTGAGGAAGACGATTGGGAGCAGAGCATGATATGAGGGAGAGAGTGGGTGAAGGGGGGGAGGAATACAAAAACAGATGGTTTTGAAAAGACGTGGCAGTGGAGGGGTAAAGAGATGGAGCGAGACGCGGGATGGGTCAGCTGCTGATGGTAATTGCAGGTGATTGGTCACTTAGACCATGTGGTCTGTGCGTTCTGGCACAGGCTGAGTCATTTGTAGCCAAAGACAGGCACTGGTGTGTCACTCTCTGGCTGCTACTGTGCACGTACATGCACGTGAGTGTGCACATGGTAAATTACCATGTTCCAGCACAGTCAGCCGAGACACAGTACAGTACGCTTTGAGATGTTAGCGTCTCTCCCTGGGTGCTTCAAGGAGCAAAACAACATTAAGTCATTTAATAAAAACACTGACCAAAGGTCTGAATGTTTTTTTTTTTATTTCCATCTGTGGCCCTGCAATGGACCCTGGGCTCCATGGAGCCTTCAACATCCATGCAAAAGACCCTGGGCTCCATGGAGCCTTCAACATCTGTGTAAAAATATAGGTGGTAGATAGTGGATGGATGGATGGATGGATGGATGGATGGATGGCATTTATACTATTTGAACAGTATTTCCTGTATGTCAGCCATGATTGGTTGTTCGCCAGACAAATATCTGCTGCAAAACATCGGACTGTTGCCCCTGACCAGAGCACGACTGCTCTGATCGCGAGGCGTTCCACACACATTAGCCAACAAACACCCAGAGGACAAGCTGGAACTATTTGTCCTGCCATTAATGTGTTCACTCCTGTCAATATCTGCAGCTTACGTGTGTGTGTTTGTGTGTGTGTTCTGAAGGTGTAGCAGAGCAGTTTGCCATCGCTGAGGCCAAGCTGAGGGCCTGGTCGTCTGTGGACGGTGACGAGTCCAACGATGACTCATACGACGAGGAGGTTCCGCCTTCCAGTGAGCCCAGCACACAAAGCACAGGTACACACACACACACACACACACACACACACAGACAGCAATAGAAAGGATTCTATTTCCTGCTCTTCCTTTTAAATACCCTGTTGCATGTCCTCTTCCTTCTGTATCCTCCTTTGTCCCAGTGCCCTACTTTTTTTTTCTGCTCTGACATTTTTTTTTGTTCCTCAGCGAAATTTGATATCCCTCCTGCAACTTTAATATGATTTCCTGTGCAGCAGAGACAGTGTCTGTGAGAGTGTGGTGTGTGAGGGGGTTATCAATGCGCTGTGTGTTGACCCTGTGTGTGTGTGTCAGTGCTTTCACTTTGATTACACTGAAGCACCAATAACCCTATACGACCCCTGACTGCCAGCTGATCCTTCTATCTATCTATCTCTCCATGGATTCATCTCAATTAATGTGAATTAATCACATTAACATAATATAAATATAGTGTATATATACACACATAAACATATACAATCATATGTTTCTATATATAAATATATGTATATATAGTGGATTAAATAAGCCACTGCATAAAGGAAAGAAGTCAGCGTGAGGACATGTAGATGGATGACGATTGTGAAGTCAGGCATTTTGTGTCACTTCAAATTACATCACCGTCATAAACAAGTGGCAGCTGAGTGAACAGGTGTGTTGAACCAGACAAATCGCCTGAGCAGCAGCATCAGTGCACCATCCTGTCAACTCCTTTTCTTTCACGGGTCCAAAGCCGCGGTTCACACCAACAGACTTTCCCATATTTTCACATTCCATCAGTTACCCGTCAGAATTCAGAGACACAGCACAGCTCAGAGTTTTCAGGTGTGAGGACAAGTCTTTAAGTCAACTCCTCTACATGTACAGTATTATTGCATTGTTATGATTAAAACCCAGTGTCTCCTTCTCTGTAGACTTGCCCTCATATCCTCCCTACTTAAAGGACCTGATCCACAGCCATCTTTGCCAACACCTGCGAGGTCCCTGTTGTGAGGGGGGAGGAGGAGGAGGGAGCGGAGAAGGAGGTGGCAGTGGGGAACCCTCACCCACAGCCGGGTCCCCGGACACCCTGTGCTCCAGTGTGTGTAGCCTGGACGAGCACCACCCGCTCCTGCGCGACCTGAGCGGCCACCGCGGTGGCCATTGCCACAGCAGCGGCGCTGAACTCGCTGCCAAGATCCTGTCAGCGCTGCAGGGAGGGGAGGAGCTCCTGGCCAGACTGCAGAGGGTAGGACAGAGCGGGCCTGGAGGGGGGGACTGTATATTCCGCAGCTTGGGGTTGGGAGGTCGGGGCCTCGGGCCCTGTGGGGGACAGGACTCTCCTTGCTTCTCCACGTCTTACTCCGAGACGTACCTGTCACCCGGTGAGGATGACGACACACCCTGCAAGGACTACGAGAACACGGTGTGTCAGGTGGAGGGGGAGGCAAACGATGAGGAGTACCCTCCCAATTATGACCCTCGGAGGAGGGTCTCTGATGTCGCCTCCTCTGGGGTGGTGTCATTAGATGAGGAGGATGAAGAGGAAGAGGAGGAAGAAAGGGCTGGAGAACCAAACAACCAATGACTCCTCTCTCCTCGACTCAGTGTTTCATCCTCCAAGCTTTTTTTTGGAGCCTTTTCATTTCTCCATGGTGTTTTTAAAGTTTGAGCCTTGGTGCATGTTGTTTTTTTTTTTCTCTGCTGACTCAAAATGAAAAAAATCACCTGTCTTTGCCTTACTTGCAGCATTTAAACTCCCCAACCTCATCACCGCTTTCCCTCCTCTAATCTTTGAACCCTGCTCTCTTTGAGGCGTCCAAACATTTCTTTGCTCTGATTTTAGGTGTTTTGGAACCGTCACTGGAGTCCAACAGTTTGCTTATCCTTTTTTGGGTTTCTGGCCCCGTCCCTCTCTCCATCCCCTTTTTTCCTCTCTGTGAAAGTGACTCCAAATATTGATGCCAGTGGGGGCAGGCAGACTGAAGACTGAGTCCAGAACTCTTTGACTTGTCTTTGCATGTGTTTTGCAAGTGGTTAAATCGACGGGCCTATATGCCCCTGAGCACGGTCTGTAATCTTGGCTGTTCTGTATAATACGTCCTCCTCTGCCCAACACCTCCCACCAGAAGGGACGTAGAGGGAAGGCAGGTTGGCACCGCATCCTGGCACCTACCCTCCCTCTCTCTCATCTCTGCCCTCTTCCCTCCTAAAGTGCATCCATTCTGGGCATGGCTTGCTGAGTATGCCAAACGATTCAACCCTGTCTGCAAATTATGATAAAATGCTGGAATGTCTTTAAAATGACAGGGCGTAGTTATGTATTTTACATGAACAAAGTTTAAAAAAAAAGATTTGTCACAAAGGATGTGATACGGCGCTCTCATTGTACTAGTTTTCTATCACTCCAAATATGTCGTTGTTCACGTCATTCTGTCCATCACTGTGATGGACGTCTGCCATAAAGACCAGTTACAGCTACTGGGTTCTGTGGTTTCCTGTGTGGAAAACATAAGAACTGTGGGGCTGTACCACAGCAGCAGCAGCAGTGACATCGACAACAACGAAAAACTAAGAATGTTCCTGAAGCGACTCTTCGACGCCAGGCCTTTTGGCAGGAAGTAGCTCTGGTTGAAGACAGAAAGTTGACCTGGAGATTTTTCTATATTTTTGTATGCCTTGTCTTGCTTGATCGCTCTTTGCCTCTGCGGCGTGACAGTGTATGTGGTTTTTTGCACGAAGCTAACGTGGCTGTAGATTTCTCTTTTTCTTTGTTATCACTGTGTGATATTGTCCAATGGGGAAAAAACAAACAAAAAATACTGGAAAAAAACAAACAAAACAAACAACAAATGTGAACAAAAAGTTTTTATTTTTTTTGTTATTTCAAAAGAGGAAACTGTGAGATTGTTTGTAATTATCTTATGTCATGATCCTCATAAAGAGCTGCTGCTTTTCTTTTGTTAAAAAACGCTTCTTTTTGTTTCTCTCTTTCCCCCCGTTAAACCAACCTTGTGGGAAATTTTACCTTTTACTGTAAACTGCTCTCTTGATTTTTATGATGTTTGCAAAAGGGCACTTCCATCTCCATCAGGATGTGAGGAACCTCACCGAGGTTCTCCCAGAGGGACCATCATTCATACAACTCAGGAAATCCCATCGGACCAGGGCATCAATGCATTCTGCTCACGCTCACATAACACCACTTGATCCTAAATCGTCTCTGTGTGTGTGTGTGTGTGTGTGTGTGAGAGAGAAAGAATCTCGCTGTGTGCAAAGTTGTTTTCTACAAATAATTAAAGCACAGATCCATTCCCCACATCCTCGTTTCACGTCTGTTGTCCGACTGTTCCATAGATCTTCAGTGTGTCCTTTTTCAAGGATTGCGTAGCTGTGTCTATTCTAATTTGTGTGTCTTTGTGTGTGGCTGTGTTGTGTACTGGTGTAAATCCACATTGTATGATGTCAACAACTCCTCAAGTTTCTGCACTGTGCAGTCAATTTAATCCAAAACTTATCAGACAGACGCAGCGATTCCCTTTAAAATTTAAACTAGTGTAGCTGGTTTTTTTTGGTAAAGAAATGAAAATGTTACAAAACCAAAATATATATATATTTGTATATTTTCAGGCAAAAAAAAAAAGAAAATATTTTTCAAGCAGCTACATTAAAATGGTGAGTCTGGAGAATTGATTAGACAGTGACAACTCAGGAGGAACCATCGAAGCTGTGCCTTTCATTCTTCACCTTTGACCTCCCAGGTTGCACTGTCATCATCGTCATCGTCGCCATCGTCAACCATCAGCCATTCTGTCTTGTCCCTCAGGCCTTCTTCTTCTTTTATGTCTTTACTTTCAGCCAAGTTGAGGCTCTGTTTCCTCCTGCAGAGGTTACGGCAGAACCATTTGTGTCACTTGCCTTTTTGGTGGACGTTAAAATCTGACGAGGCTTTTGTGTGAGCGCAGTGATCAGAGTGCGGCACTCGCTGTTCCCGCTGTTATACATCCATGCTGTTCGCAATTTCGGTGTAATTGTCACTCGTCCTGTCCCCAAGGCAGCCTGCGTATGAGTGTGTGTGTGTATGAGCAGGACAGAGTGGAAACGAGAGAGAAAGAAAAACAAAGGTCGACAGAGTGGTGAGAGAGAACACACACACACACACACACACTGTGTGTATCTGTTTTACACTGAAGATGATGTCGATTTGTTCATTTGCTAATTCATTCATTAATGACGCAGTCCTAAATTTAGCCCCAGTCCTTCTCGCAGCTCATTGGTGAATTTCTTATCTTTTTGTCCTTTTTGGCCAGAACACTTTGTCCCCATGAGGACAGAAAATGTCCCACTGACACACAGACAGCCTGATGAATGTCTCTCCTCTCCATCCTTCTGCCACGTCCTGTCCCCCCCCCCCCCCCACTCCCCACATCCCACCCAGGCCTTTTGTCTGCGTCCTTCCCCTCTCTCTCTCTCTCTCTCCTTCTTTCCTTTACTGTCTCTCTCTCTCTCTCTCTCCATTTTCCCTCCCTTTGTCCCCCACGTGGGACTCATTACATAACTAAAAGGACATCTGAGTGCTACCTGTGCCGACAGGCAATTAGCCCGTCGTTATAAAACTGGTTGACGAACAGGTGATGCTTATCTCTCCCCCCTGTCTGTCTTTTTATTTTTTCACCCACTCGTCTTTCATCCCTTCGCTCCCCCTGCTCCTGCTCCCCCTCCTCCCCTCCTCCCCCGGCTTCTTCTCCTTCTGTTTTTCTCTCTCATCTTCTCTGCCTCATTCCTACCAGCAGTCTCTAAAGTGGCATAGTTTCAGGTTTGATGGCCTAGAAAACTCTTCTCTGTTTGAGAACGGCGACAGGTGATGAAGGGAAAGTGCTCTTTGCCAGAACCTGGGATTAATAATATTTTTGCAGAACGGCAGCAGAGGTTCGTCCCTTGAGTCTTGTCCTTGAGTCTGACAGATCTTTAGAGTAAAACGTGCACTTTTTTTTGTACAAATGTGTGTGTGTGTGCGCATGTGTTTCTGGGCTGTGCCATTTTGTCAGTTGCATTGGTCAAGCAAAGGCACTGGATGGATGCAACAGTTTATCTACACAGGTCTATTGAAATAAATCCACAGCAGAGTTGTTTAGACACTAAATCACTAAAGAAAGTTCCAGAACCCATTGATTAAACACAGAAGTTTGAAAGAAAAAAAATAGTTGCTTACTTCTGCCCGTCTTGTTGTATCGGCGTGTTCCAGATCCTTTGTGTCTCCGAGTGACTCGGCGTGTGGTGGTGACGAAGTCAGTGCTAAAAAAAGACATCAAAACATCTGTTGGACAATGTGAAGGCAGAAGGAGCGCATTAATATTCAGCTGCTGCTGCTGATCCTGTCATCCCTCAGCCTATTTTCCATTTTGGAGCGAAGCTGCGTGGCCCTGGGGCCGTTCTCGCCCACACCACCAGCCGCCACTCACCACTATTAGGACAAACCCTGTAAACAGGGCCGACACTGTTGCATCATTTCCACCAGGCTGTCCAAGATGACGAGCGTGAATTCATTCCACTGAGAACTACAGTGTACTGTACACTGTGTCAACACAAGTTATTTTGAAAATAATATTTCTGACCTTGCTTTTACAACAAAACACATATCTAACAAAATGAGGTAAATATAACAAACATGATATGGATATTTGATCCAAGCCAATTTTTGATCATTAATTTATTGTAGTATTTAAGGAATAAGTACATTGATAACAACAGAAAACAGGAGGCAAAAAAACAAACAAACTGTGAGATAGTCTCTAAAATTGAATTTTTAAATTTAAATTCCAAACACAGTCAAACTGCAACCACAAATGACAAGAAAAAGACAAACAACAGTTACAATAATGTTAGAAAACCACACCAACAGACCTCCAGTTACAAGTGGCACTGCTTAAATACAGCATATAGAAATGTCTATAACTGTTGGACATTAGTGGACAAATGGAGTCAAGTTACAAATGTTCATTTTTAAGCGGGCCATACAAAATTACATGGCGGGCCGCATTTGAACCCCGGGCCTTAGGTTTGACACGTGTCTTAGGGTTTTGGCTGCAGACAGTCGTCCAAAAAATTCATTTAAACTGAAAACAGACAGACACAGCAAAGCCCCCACCCCCCCCACAGAGACAGGGCCACGGGGGTGGGGGGGTGGGGGTGTAC